ATCCTACGCTTTTTATTAGTCCTAAGCTTTTTAATAGCATCCTACGCTTTTTATTAGTCCTACGTTTTTATTAGCATCCTACGCTTTTTATTAGTCCTACGTTTTTATTAGCATCCTACGCTTTTTATTAGTCCTACGTTTTTATTAGCATCCTACGCTTTTTATTAGTCCTACGTTTTTATTAGCATCCTACACTTTTTATTAGTCCTACGCTTTTATTAGTGCTACGTTTTTATTAGCATCCTACGCTTTTTATTAGTGCTACGTTTTTATTAGCATCCTATGCATTTTAAATCCATCCTATGCTTTTTATTACACTTCATAACTTTTGCTTATTTGATTTACTATCAGACAACCTGACACTCACCACCACTCCTGATGATTGTTTACCAGTGTAGAGTTCCAACAGGAAGTTTACCTGTGACAGCAGACAGGTGAGAGGAGGTGGAGCCAGGATAAAGGGTGAGAAGTTGAGATGAGGAGATGTGGTTCTGGCTGCTGCAGGAGAATAAAACAGCTCCATGAAAGAAGGTGGACACATGTCCCATAATGCATTGCTCTTTGACATCAGTCAACGTTTCACCTCCCAGCGTTTCTTCTTCTTCCTCGCTTTATGTATTTTGGATTTCTGTATTTCCTGTCTGCTCTTCTTTAATGCCAAACCTGTTTGTTTTGCACATTTTGGTCAATAAAGATAAAAAACTCACCTCTCAGCTGCACCTGCAGGGGCAGGAGATTTTCCAGCTAAAATCTTAGCATGTGCTGAGGGTGGAGCCAGCATAGGACATCTGACATAAAGGGGCGTGTCCTTCTGGAAGGCCCGCCTCATCTCTGACATCAGCAGTGACAGGTTGGACGTTCCCTGACAGGAAGTGACGTTAACAGATATGTTATACGAACGGCAGGTTCATATCAGACAGCACACCAGTGGAATCAGTGTCTCACATGGGTCCAGTTCCTGAGTCCATCCAGACTGACGGACCCGGTGGCGTCCACAAAGGGACAGGACCGGTTGATCACCATGGTGGGCGATGGGCAGACGAAGCAGCAAGGGCACAAAGCTGGGTGTGTCTCGTGGAGCCAGATGCATACTGGGAGATTATACTCACTTCCTGTGAACATACAGAACCAGAACCAGGCTGGAAGCTGACTGATCTGGATCAGAACCAAAGCAGCGAGTCATTGTTTCAGTCTGACCTTCAAAGAGAACAGGAAGTGTCCCGGATAAGTAGACCAGCTTCCTCTTCTCATTGTTTGGAAAACCTTGGAGAGATGGATGGCAGGTCAGAACAACACATTAATGTCTGTACTCATCAGAACCTTCTATCAGGACCATAGAGACCACACATTAATGTGTGTACTCATCAGAACCTTCTATCAGAACCATACAGACCACACATTAATGTCTGTACTCATCAGAACCTTCTATCAGGACCATACAGACCACACATTAGTGTCTGTACTCATCAGAACCTTCTATTAGGACCATAGAGACCACACATTAGTGTCTGTACTCATTAGAACCTACTATTAGGACCATAGAGACCACACATTAGTGTCTGTACTCATCAGAACCTTCTATTAGGACCATAGAGACCACACATTAATGTCTGTACTCATCAGAACCTTCTATCAGGACCATACAGACCACACATTAGTGTCTGTACTCATCAGAACCTTCTATCAGGACCATAGAGACCACACATTAATGTCTGTACTCATCAGAACCTCCTATCAGGACTATAGAGACCATACATTAATGTCTGTACTCATCAGAACCTCCTATCAGGACCATACAGACCACACATTAATGTCTGTACTCATCAGAACCTTCTATCAGGACCATAGAGACCACACATTAATGTCTGTACTCATCAGAACCTCCTATCAGGAAAATAGAGACCACACATTAATGTCTGTACTCATCAGAACCTTCTATCAGGACCATAGAGACCACACATTAATGTGTGTACTCA